CTGTAGATGTCTGTTAGGTCCATCTGTTCTAGTGTGTTGTTCAGTGCCTCTGTGTCCTTACTTATTTTCTGTCTGGTTGATCTTTGTTCAGAGTGAGTGTAGTGTTGAAGTCTCCTAGAATGAGTGCATTGCATTCTATTTCCCCTTTTAATTCAGTTAGTATTTGTTTCACATATGCAGGTGCTCCTGTTTTGGGTGCATAGATATTTTTAATGTTTATATCTTCTTGTTGGATTGACCCCTTTATCATTGTATAATGTCCTTCTTTGTCTCTTGTGACTTTCTTTGTTTTGAAGTCTATTTTGTCTGATACAAGTATTGCAACAGCTGCTTTTCTCTCTCTATTAATTGCATGAAATGTCTTTTTTCATCCCTTCACTTTTAGTCTGTGTATGTCTTTGGATTTAAAGTGAGTCTCTTGTAGGCAGTATACAGATGGGTCTTGTTTTTTTATACTTTCAGTGACTCTGTGTCTTTTGATTGGTGCCTTCAGTCCATTTACATTTAGGGTGATTATCGATAGGTATGTACTTATTGCCATTGCAGACTTTAGATTTGTGATTACCAAAGGTTCCAGGTTAACTTCCTTACTATCTAAGAGTCTAACTTAAGTCACTTAATATGCTATTACAAACATAATCTAAGGGTTCTTTTCTTTTTCTCCTCCTTTTTCTTCCTCGTTTTTCTCCCTCCTCCATTCTTTATATATTAGATATCATATTCTGTACTCTTTGTCTATCCCTTGACTGACTTTGGGGATAGTTAATTTAATTTTGCATTTGCTTAGTAATTAGCTGGTCTACTTTCTTTACTGTGGTTTCATTACCTCTGGTGACAGCTATTAAACCTTAGGAATACTTCCATCTATAGCAGTCCCTCCAAAATACACTGTAGAGATGGTCTGTGGGAGGTAAATTCTCTCAGCTTTTGCTTATCTGGAAATTGTTTAACCCCTCCTTCAAATTTAAATGATAATCTTGCCAGATAAAGTAATCTTGGTTCCAGGCCCTTATGCTTCATTGTATTAAATATATCATGCCACTCCCTTCTGGACTGTAAGGTTTCTGGTAAGAAGTCTGATGTTAGCCTGATGGGCTTTCCTTTTCATGTGATCTTTTTTCTCTCTCTCTGACTGCTTTTAATCATCTGTGTTTATCCTTGATCTTTGCCATTTTAATTACTATATGTCTTGGTGTTGTCTTCCTTGAGTCCCTTGTGTTGAGAGATCAGTGTACCTCCATGGCCTGAGAGACTATCTCCTTCCCCTGATTGGGGAAGTTTTCAGCAATTACCTCCTCAAAGACACTTTCTATCCCGTTCTCTCTCTCTCTCTTCTTCTTCTGGTATCCCTATAATGCAAATATTGTTCCATTTGGATGGGTCACACAGTTCTCTTAATATTCTTTCATTCTTAGAGATCCTTTTTTCTCTCTGTGCCTCAGTTTCTTTGTATTCCTCTTCTCTAGTTTCTATTTCATTTATCCTCTCCTCCACCTATCCACTCTGCTTTTATTACCCTCCATTGTGCTCTTCAATGATTGGATCTCCGACCGGAATTCATTCCTGAGTTCTTGAATATCTTTCTGTACCTCCATTAGCATGTTAATAATTTTTATTTTGAACTCCCTTTCAGGAAGAGTCATGAGGTCCATGTCATCTTTCTCAGGGGTTATATTAATTTTACTCTGAACCAGGTTCCTTCAGCATTTCATATCTGTGTATGGCACCTTGTAGTGTCCAGGAACTCTACTCTTTGGAGCTGCCTCAGCCCCTGAAGCTGTGTCAGGGGCCACAGGGGAGCGGTATTGGTGCCTGGGGGGAGGAAAGAGCTGTTTCCTGCTTCCCAGCTGCTGTGCCTGTCTCCACTGCCTGAACCAGTGGGTTGAGAACACAGGTATAAGCTTTTGTCCCAGTGCAGCCAGATATGGATGGATCCCTGCTTTCCACAAGTGGCTGGAATCTCAGTCTCTCCAGGAGTTCTGCCTCTGTTAGCTTTCCAATTCTGTAATCCTGAGAGTGTCATGAAAGCACCATGAAATGTAGGTTTGTGCTCCCAGCACAGCTCCGGAGCTAGGTATTCAGCAGTCCCAGGCCTTCCACTCCCTCCCTGCTCTGTTTCTCTTCCTCCTGCCGGTGAGCTGGGGTGGGGGAGGGGGGAGGGTCCCGCGGAGCCACAGCTCTGGTACATTACCCCATTCGCTGAGGTCTGCTCTTTTCTCCAGGTGTGTGCAGTCTGACGTGTCCTCTTTCCTGTTGCTCTCTCACGATTAGCTATATTAATTTTATTTTCGTATTATATGTGGTTTTAGGAGGAAGCCTGTCTCACCTCTCACGCCGCCATCTTTAATCCTCCTCGGGAAGGGATTTGGATTATTTTCTTAGAATGTGTTTCTGGAAGAAGAATTAATGAGTAAAGGGGTCTGAACCTTTTATAGACCCTTGAAACATGAGGCCACGTAGCAGACAAGGGTGGTTTTGGAGCCAGGAAATGTAGAATGTGGCCTGGCTCCTGGTGTGGAGGGGTCCTAGATCTCTGCTAACCTTTCCTTCTTTTCTCTGTCCCCTTCCCTTCTACTCCTACTTCCACTGCCTCTTCCTAAATGCTAAGCACTTTACACGCCTGCTCTCTTTAAATCTCCCAGTACCCCAGCTGGATCAGGGTCACTGTCCCATCTTACAGATGGCAGGCCCGCTCAGGGACGCTTAGCCTCAGCTGTTGAGCAAGGACGCACATCCAGGTCAGGCTCTTCACCACGTGTCATAGGGCCCGTTCTGCTCTTGTTTGTTCTCTGTTTCTTCTTTCCTTTCTCCTTTCTCTCCTGCTTGGGCTTTAGGCCTCCTGCTTAGCACCATAGAAATTGTTCTGCTGCTGGGGCTCAGGGCAAAGATGTTGCTGACTGTTGTTGCACAGCAGAGTAAGAATTTGAAGGAGGAAGCAGGTAAAGGTGCTCAAGAGAAGACAGGCGATTCCTGAGGGAGAACCTCCAGTTCTCCAAAATCCCTGGATAATTTCTCACCTAGGGCAGGATGAGGTTATGGCTGAGCCTCGGCGGTTTCTGTTTCAGCCCCGTCGCCAGAGAAGCTCTCCTCCTCAGCTGTGGCCCTTGCTGTGGTCCTTCCTGTCTTAGGGCTTCTCATCACAGTGGGCATTTTCCTTATATGGAAGCAGAGAAGATCAAAAGGTAACCGAGCAGTGAGGGAGCCCAGGCTGGGAGGAAGTGAGACTGCGGCTCCTTTAGGCAAAGGCAGGGAGGGCGTAGACAGAGACACTGCAGTTAGCCACAGATTAAAGACCCTATGCACTGGGTGGGAGGAACCGGCAGAGCCACGCTCTGGGACTTCCTTTGCAGAGAGGATCAAAGAAACTCCAGAAGGCTCCTGGGCAGAGCTGTGAATTCTCATCTTTTGAGAAATTAGAAAATAACTAATTATACCAATCTTCTAATTAATTAATAAATCATTGGATAAAACTCATAAATACTGTGGCATTTCACAGGATCTCAGGGTTGCAAAGGACCTTGAAGGTCACATAATCCAACATTCTTCCCTCTGTCTGATGGTTTGAAGACCCTCTGATTCTTTCAAAATGGTCACACATCCACCATGACAAGGAGCAAAGTCTTAGTCAGGCAGCTGGGGCCGTCATTGGACAACTCTGCTTGTTAGAAACAGCCTTTCCTTGAGCTGAGCTGACATCTCTCTCTCTCTCTCCTTTCTAGAGAAGCTTCTCTATGAACAGATGATGGAGGTAGGTAAGTATCCTGGGCTGGGTGGGGATGTTTCTATGTTTTGTTCATTTTGAATCCCTAGTTTCCACTGGTCTAAGTTCTGTACCTGAAAATCCCTGCATCTGCTGTCCCTGGTGGCAGTGGTGCTGGAGGGCCTACACCTGTCATTTCTAGTTTTTGTTAACTCTTACTTATAATAGCTGGCCTTCCCATACGTTTGGTGATTTTTGTCTGTGAACTCATTGCTTGATCTTATTCTCTGGGAGTTGTGTAGGTCTAATGTGAGGGAAGCTATTATTCATCCAACAAACAACAGATAATTGTCTTGTAAGTGCCCTAGACTATCCTGGATGCTGGGGATATATAGTGGTGAGTAAAAGCAGACAAAAGCCTTTGCTTCTTGGAGCTCTCTGTCTAGTCAGAGAGATATACATAAATTAAATAACTATACAAATAAATGTGTACAAAGGCCATTAAAGGAAGTTCTGAGGGCTGTAAAGCCTATGACCAGGAGGGACCCAGCAAACTTCAGGGATGGAAGAGGAGCTCCCAGAGGAAGTGATGTTCCCTCTGGAGGATGGACAGGCCTGTGGGAGGAGGGACAGAAAGAAAGAAAGAAGAGCTTGAGCAAGAAACGTGGTGCCAAAGTGAGGGGCAAGGGGACAGGATGGGCTGAAGAGGTAGGCAGGGGTCTGGCCACGTGAGGCCCTGTGATCATGAGATGGGTTATAGTTGGGGTGGGGTTAGAGCAATGAGTGGGGCTCTCCTGATGAGAATTGTGCTTGGAGAAGCCCTCTCTGGCTGCAGAGTTGAGAAGAGACCAGAGGGAATAAGACAGGATTTGGGGGCAATTTGGGCCATGAATTCTGTCATCCAGATGAGAGATGTGAGGCCTGGATCAGGGAGGTATGAGTGGAGATAGAGATGGGCAGGATCAAGAGCAGGTAAACTCAAGAGGAATCTGGGACCCTCAAGGTAATGGCACAGAATCTCATTTTCTTTTACTTTCCTTCCTCTAGAAAATCTTCTCTCAGACCATGCAAAAGAGAAAGGTAATTCTATGCATAGAATAAGGGGTAGGGAAAATATAACATATTTTCCCCTTCTACATAAATGTTGACAGTCTACTATTGTACCTACATTATATATGTGTGCACACACACATTGTCCATTACTATTACTAGAATTTGCTTGCCTATATCAAGGGGCTATTGGGCTTGTGAGGGATTGCCCATGACCAGAATTCACAGGTCTGGATTCCCATGATCTCCCTTCATCAGCTTTCCCACCAATCATCTAGAGAGGAGGTCTATATACTACTTAAACATATATTAATTTGGTCATATGAAATGTATGAGAATCTCAAGGATCCATACAACCTTTGCATCAAGAGTGACCGGGTGACACAATGGGAGGAACATGGGCCCTGGATGCAGCGACAACATGGCTCAGATCCCTGGTCTTGGATAAGTCACTTTACTGTTCTGAGCTTTGGTTCCCTCATCTGTAAAATGGAGATAATAATTCCTCTCATTTGATTGCTTTTGGGATCAAAAGAGACAAAAACAAAAAACCCAGCTCCTGTTACAATGCCTGGAACTCTTTTCCCTTATTGCCATTTGTCTTCATTGATTGACTCTGCTCTGGGCCACTGAAGGTAAAAGTTAGATGCTCAGGGTACAAAAAACTCTCTGCCCTTTGAGAGTCTAGCTGGGAAGACAAGTCGCTGGCTCAGAAATGGCTCTGCATGTGAAGATTTTGGTGTCTCCTCTCCTCCCCTTTACATTTCATCCAGCTGGTGAAAGTGTTGGGGGTGCACACTCTGGGGACACGATGGCCTTTCTGTCCAAAAGCAGAAGGAGCAGTGTGGTGTGGTGGTGAAGGTGTCTGACTGGTGAAGGTGTCCTGCCTCGTTGACCACTTAGTAGCTGGATGACCTGGACAAATTCCTATGTCCCTCTGAGCCTCAGACCACCACTCTGTAAACTGGGAGTAATAATTATATGTGCTTCACACTGTTGAGAAGATTCAGTGCCTACCTCATTATAAGAACAGGACATAATATGTGGAGGCTATTAGTGGGAATGGTAAAAATAACTACAAGGTCATATTCAGCTGCACTGCCCCAATGCCTAATGCCTACCACACGCCAGCCCTTTGCAGGACCAGTGCTGGGAGAAAATATGGACCTCATGGCCCCTCCAAAGAAGCCACAAGTACTCCCTGAAACATAAGAAGTAAACGCATATGTGCCGAAACCTTCTGGGATCTCCAGATTTGTGCATCTCTCTACAGTGTTTCAGAGGAGTTACTGTCGAGAATAATAATTCACCTGTCAAGAGGTGACTGGTGGGCCTTCAGCTAGTTGTGCACTGTAGACATTATAACCAGTAAGTCACAGAAGGGCAGCAAGACAGACACTCACGCGCACATAGTTACAAATGTACGGAAACACTCCCACAGACAGCAGAAATGAAACCAGATAGACAGACAAGAAGGACGTGAAGAGGAAGGAGGAACCAAAGTTCCAGGCAGTCTGGGTCATCAGGAAAGCACTACCAGTACCACTGGGTTCCCAGGGGGACTCTGGGAGAGGTGACTGCATTGGGGGTGGACAGGATCATTGTGCTTTTCACCCTGGGGGATGGAGATGAGCCCTCCTGGGCCCCGGGGGTAAAGCAGCGGCATCTGCTCACCCATGCTCTTTCTTTTTTAATTTTTTTAGGAAGGCTTCATAAAACCCACAGTAAGTTCTGCTTCTCATCTGTGGCACAAGCCTCCTGCTGACATCTCTGCTGTGGGATGAGTGTTTCAGTTTCATTTCCTAGGGCAAAACTGAGGGGCCAAGGGTGCCACAAGCTATGGAGGTTGGGAATTTCTTGGCTCCCAAAGGTCTCGTTCCTTGAATATTCCTGGCTCCTCTTCCCTGCACAACTGTACCTAGTCTCTAAATGGGAAATATTTTACCCAGAAGAGATGTACCTCCTGAAGGTGAGGCCATCTGAAAACCTGTTGATTGCCAGCCATGACATTGGCTTAGGTGGGATCCAAGGTGAGTGGGTCCTCCTTTAACTGAATACGGGCAGCAGAGCTACACCACCACGTTCCTGTATGAGAACTTCTTGATAACAAAACACCTTCAGCTACTGACATTTCTATTTTATTTTACACTGAGAAATATACATAAGAAAATTGAGTAGAAGTTCAGCGATCATTTTAAATGAACTTCTCCCACATTCATTACATTTATGTTGTTAGTGCCTGTGTGTGTGAGATGTGTTACGTATTCCATCCGCAGCTGAAGGTTGGCTCACATAGGATTTGCCGACCCTCGGCCGTATGTCTGGGGACCCATATGATGTATATCCCATGGCTGGGAGCACTGCTGTTGCAAGCACTGTCCTGGGGAAGTTCAGGGTATCACTACTGAGGATCTGGTGTGGGAATGCGGTCAGGGTGGGACTGTAGCATTATGAGCATGTAGAAGCCCTTGTTCTGATGTGCAAACTGTTTTTATTCTCTAGAGAAGCTCCGGAATGAACTGAGTAAGTTTCCCATGTTATTATGACTTTATTACCAACCTGTCTCCTGTTACTCTGTTTCCAGTGATAGCTCATTTCCCTTGTTTCTTTTTTTACAGGGCTGAAAAGAGCTGCTGCAAACTCAGGTGAGGTGCACTGTCCCTGTACTTGATGCCACCATGCCCCCAGACGTCCTCCATTTCCCCATGGGGTTACCAATCCTCTTTCTGTCTTTCAGGCTGGAGAAGGGCCCGGCTGCACTTCAGTAAGTCATACCAGTCAAACTGACCTGCATTTCAGAGTCCATTACTCTGTTCCTTTGGCATGCAGACTGAATTAAAAAAAAAAAATCTTCAAATCTGTTTATCTGCTTACCAAATTAAAAAATAACTTGGTGATTATTTTTGGCAGGTGGGTCATGTTTAGATTTAGAAAGCTTCCTCTCTTTTAGAAAGCTGATATACATTGTTCTTCTTATGGGTTTGCTATGATTTTTGAGATTGTTCTCAAGTTTTCCAGTTATTTGCATTTCATCTTTTTGACTTGTCTGCTCCTGTCCTTTTCTGGCTACTTTTTGATTTGTGAGAATTCTTTCTACATGAAGTATATTAACTTTCTGTCATATTTTTCACAAATCATTTTTCTGAGTTTTTCATTCATATTTTAATTTCTTGTTAGTATTTTTTGATACATGAGTGCTTTACTTCTATGTAGTCAAATTTATTCATCTTTTCCTGGGTAGTCTCTTCAGATTTGGGAAGTCCTTCCTGTCCCACAATGGATAAGCAGCCAGTGTTCCTGTCTTCGTGCACACCTGCCATGTCCTTTTTCCCCTGAAGATCAGTTTTCTTGGTGGGTGGTGACTGAGATTCTCAGAGAAGGGAATGAGTTGGGCAGATGCCTCAACAATGTAGACTACAAAAATATTTCATAGTTGTATTCTAAAAGATCTGCACATCTCTTCAGTTTTTTTCTTAAATTTGCATTTTTGCTGCTGTTATTTTCACCACTTCACAATCCTTATCAATTTGCCAGCTGCCCATCCCCTCCCTGCATTCAGGCGGGTGTAAGTGAGGGAACACCAGCTCCCCTTGGGGGCATTCAGGGAATTCACAGCCCTTCTCACACTTAAAGTTGCTTACTCTCACCCCATCGACTGGATATAGATTTCATGGATTTAACTCTCCAAGAAGAGCTTATTTTCTGTACTGGGGGAAGGTGAGGGGCTCACTTTGACCCTCATAACCCACACTTTACAAGAGGAATCCTTCTCTCTATAGTAACATTTCAAAGTGAAAATTGTAAGCAATAATTTTAGGTAACAAAATGAGCGTCACATGCTGTGTGAATGAGAAACTGTCTCATGCATTAGCTCCTCAGATCTGCAGAAGAGCTCTACAGCATAGGTGCTGTTAGTGTTCCCATTTTACAGATGAAGAAACTAAGGTCTGGAGATGAATAATAAGCCCAAGGTCACATAAATAGCATGTGTCAGAGCTGCAATTCAAACATCCTACCTGGTTACTGGGTCTAACATGAAAGTCTATGTTTGTTATCATACACTGGATTCCTTTGGACCATGAAGACAAAGGCAACATTTCCTCAGGGTTAAGGGAGCATCACAGAAAAACCTTTTTTTTCTTTTACTTAATAAACTACCAGTAGATCTAGGAGACTGGAAGACAGTTTGCTTTGGTTCCAGTACTTAGGGGGGAGGGCAAACCATGAACTAAAATGGGCTAATGACAGTGGTTGCAGACCCAGACATTATTTTTCCCTCCAAAGCTACCCAAAGGCCCCTTAAGACCTATCTGTCCCAAATCTCACCTCCTTGTGACTCTCTGCAGAGGCGGTGACCCTGGACCCAGACACAGCGCACCCCAAACTCATCCTGTCTGAGGACCGTAGGCGGGTGCAGCTTGGAGACAGAAGGCAGCCTGTGCCCAACAACCCCCAGAGGTTTGACTTTGTTGTCAGTGTCCTGGGTGCGGAGTGCTTCACGGCTGGCTGTCACTACTGGGAGGTGCTCGTGGGGGCCAAGACCAAGTGGGCCCTGGGGGTGTGTAGTGAGGCAGTGAGCAGGAAGGGCAAGGTCACTGCCTCGCCTGCCAATGGACACTGGATCCTGCGACTGAGTGGAGGGAATGAGTACCAAGCTCTCACGTCCCCGCAGACCGCCTTCCGCCTGAAAGAGCCCACACGGTGTGTGGGGATTTTCCTGGACTATGAGGCAGGAGTCATCTCCTTCTACGATGTGACCCACAGATCCCACATCTTTACTTTCACCCACAGTTTCTCTGGTCCCCTTCGCCCTTTCTTTGAACCTTGCCTTCATGATGGAGGGAAAAACATGGCGCCGTTAATCATCTGTTCAGAACTCCAGAAATCAGAGGAATCAACTGTCCCCAGCCTGGAAGGAAAAGGCCAGCCTAATGGAGATGTGGCTGTGAAGGCAGACCCTTCCTTACTCCCCACTCATGCCCTGGAGCTCAGGGAGATGATCATGTCCTGGCCCTCTCACAAGGGCCCGGCCCTTCAGGGACTCAAGGTTCCTCCTTTTTAGGAACATGCCTCATTACCTGCTCCCCTGACCGTTCAGCCTAGTGCCCTGAACTGACACCTGATTCTGGAACATCTCATCTTCCTTCTCCAAATCCAGACCCTCTTGAGGTTTCTATTCCTCCACCTTTCTCCCAGGGCCCAGCAGTAAACCCTATGTTCCTTGGGGACTTGGAATTCCTATTGCTGGGAAAGAATTCTTGAAAACCAAGTGAACCATCAGATTGGTTTAGGTGGTGATGCTGGATGTATGTCACCCAGATACAGGGATTCCCTACCCTCGGGCTATTTAGGAGAATTCTATCCTCCCCATCTGCACTCAGGCTTTCAGTCATGGAGTCATGGTGCCCAGTCCCTGACTTCTTACTTATTTCATCAAGAATTGCTTTTCCCCTTTCCTTAGCTCAGGTCTCTAGCCACTAAAGCCAACTTTTTAAAAGTAAACATGCTTTGGGTCACATACTCTTCCTTCATTTTTTCTGGAATATGGGGCCAGGTGCTGGAGGAGTAAAACATGCCATTCTTTTCTATTGCCTTGATGCTGTTTACAACATAGTTTGGTGACATCCAGAGCTAATGTACACGTTTTCAAAGCTAATTTACCTGTTGATAATAACCAGGTGCAGGGTTACTAACCTGTAATCCTGAAAAGCCTCAGGAGCATGATCAGAGAGTTGGGAAGCACAACATTAGACCGAGCAGCCCAAGTGTGTGGCTTGAAAAGACAGCAATGGATGAGTCAGTCTATTGTGGATTTAGAGAGGCCCAGCTAGAAGAAGTGGCAGTTTTAACCACTAATGTAGAAACTTTTTTCTGGAAAACTTGACTGTTTGTGTAGCAAACAACCTGTTAGGTCAGAGAGTATTGATTTCAAATAGAAAGTTGGTAGACCAGGTATGAGGATAAAATGGTGATTTTTTTTTGGTGTGGATTGCAGAAAGAAGCCTAGTCACTTTCAGGTCACACCACATAGGTGATCTGGCCTCTTTGTGGAGACATTGGCTATCAGTTTGCTGACAGGTACACAGCTCGAGCCAAAGGAAAAGAGATCTTTCTGTCAGCAGATCTCTCTTTTAGTGCCTGTATTAGTCAGGGTTCTCCAGAGAAACATTATATATATATATATATATGGGGTGGGGTTGGGGATTGAGATTCACTATAGGGAATTGGCCCAGTGATTATGAAGACTGGCAAGTCCCAAGATCTGCAGGGTTGGTCAGAAGTTGGAGACCCAGGGGAGCCAATGGTTTAGTTCCAGTTTGAAGGCTGACAGGCTTGAGATCCAGGAAGAATCAATAATTAAGTTTGAGTTTGAAGGTAGGAAAAAAGTTGATGTCCTAGTCTGAAGGCTGACAGGCTGGAAGAATTCTCTCTGACTAAGGAGAATGGTCAGTCTTTTGGTTGTATTCAGACTTTCAAATGATTGAATGAGGCCCAACCCACATTAGGGAGGGCAACATGCTTTATTAAATCTACTGCTTTAAATGTTGCTCTCCTTTCAAAACACTCTTACAGAAACACCCAGGATAATGTTTGACCAAATCTCTGGGCACCCCAGTAGCCCAGTCAAGTCGACACATGGTATTAATTATCATAGTGCATGAGTGGAAGTCATTTGATTTTGTATAATTCTTAAATAAAAGTTTGGTATTCATTGTTTGGCATGCTGTTATTTTTATTATGAATAATGAGTTGTGGGGAAAGATTTGGGGCTGAAAGAGAAAAGCAAATTATGGAATTGGTTTTGTACAACATTAAATTCACCCAAGCAAGTTTGAACCACTTAAAAATAAAGCCACATTGTTATTTCTGAGTCTGCCTTTTCAGAATTTTATTTATATCAGTTTAGAAAGTAATAGTGTATGTGGGGATATTTATATTTCACTCATCCATATTCATTTTCAAAAGTATTTTCCTGAATATTCCAATCTGAAAAGTAACTCACATTGGCAACACTGAAGAGAACTTACCAGAAGGAAGAGAACTGACAGTTGTGGAGGCAGATGCTTTATATATGTTAATTCATTTAGTCCTTACAACAATTCTTCTGGGTATTTCATAGGGAGGAAAACGGTGCTCCAAATGGCTAGGTGATAAAACTGGGATCATAAATCTGGTCTATCTAGCTCTGAAGATATACTCTTTGCAATTTGGACTGAAATACTGTGAAGGTACAGTAAGTCTGTAGAATTTTAGCCTACATGTTAAATTAAACTTTTTAAAAAAGTAAAACCTGAAAAAAAATCCTAATCCTGGATATACCTTAGTAGGCTTGTGTCTAGATTGAGAAATGATAGATTCAGCTATAAAGGATCAAAAAACCCCTGCACAGGAAGACTGGGAGCCCCAGAGGTAGTTCCTTGGACAGGGAAATTTTAGCTTCTCTAACAAGAGGATTGGGTGAGCTGATCTTTAAGCTACCCTTTAGTACCAAAATGCTTTGACTTTAAAGTATAAACCTCTCATGAGGTGCAGGACTCAAGGCTTTGTGGGATGTCTACTGCTCCCTGATTTCATCTACAGAGCCACAGTAGTCTGCTCCCTGACTTCAAAGCTGATTGAAACAGTACAGAACTGGCACAAAAACAGACACATAGATCAATGGAACAGAATAGAAAGCCCAGAAATAAACCCACACTTACATGGTCAATTAATAAATGACAAAAGAGGCCAGAATATACAGTGGGGAAAAGACAGTTTCTTCCCAACAATGGTGTTGGGAAAACTGGACAGCTACATGCAAAAGAATGAAACTGGATCACTGTCTTACACCAAACACAAAATAAATTTGAAATGGATTAAAGACCTAAATATAAGACCTGAAAACTGAATACTCCTAGAAGAAAACACAGGTAGTCAATAGATTAAAGATGGCAGTGTGAGAGGTGAGACAGAGGCCTCCTCCTAAAACTGCATATAATATGAAAATATAATACAACTAATCCTGAAAGAGCAACAGGAAAGAGGGCTGTGCCAGACTGCATACACCTGGAGAAAAGAATAGACCTCACGGAACAGGGTAACGTACCAAAGTTGTGACCTGGCAGGACCCAAGCCCTTCCCCTACTCCAGCTCACCAGTGGGAGGAAGAGAAATGGAGTGGGAGAGAGTGGAGGCCTGGGACTGCTGAACACCTAGCTCTGGAGATCTGCTCTGGGAGCACAAACTTACATTGCATGGTGCTCTGGTGATTAGGGGGATTGGAAAGCTAAGACAGGCAGAATATCTGGAGAGACTGAGATTCCAGCCACTTGTAGAAAACAGGAATCCATATCAGGCTGCTCTGGGACAAAAGAAAGGCAAGCAGTCTGAGAGACTTCCTAACAGCAAGAGGGCTGCTAAAAGGGGCAAGGATTGCACAGAGCTTACTGCTCAGGAGAAAGGACAGGTAGACAAAATTGTCCAGGTTCACTCTGCCTAGCAGGTTGGGAACTTGAACGATGTTCATGTGCTCCAGGCCCCTGGCTGGCTACACAGCTCCAAGACCCCCACCCTCCATGATACACAGTCTGCTGCGCCTTCCTCCCAGCCAGCCTGCACCTGACTCACAAACTGGCAAACCCTGTCCTGGCATTAGGCTAGCCAGAGGGAAGTCCTGCCTACAGCAGCTACAAACACAAAGCACAGAGGCTTATACCTGTGTGCTCCGCCCACTGGTCCAGGCAGTAGAGACAGGCATAGCAGCCAGGAAGCAGGAAACAGCTCTTTCTTCCCCCCAGGCACCAACACCGCTTCCCTGCGACACCTGACATTGCTCCAGGGGCTGAGCAGCTCCAGACAATAGAGCTTCTGGGCACCAGAGGGTGCAACATACAAATATGAAACATCAAAGGAACTTGGATCAAAGCAAAATCATACATATACCAGAGAAAGAGTCAGCTGAAACTGACCTTATGAATTTTCCTAAGATTTCAAAATAAAAATCATAAACATGCTCATGGAGGTAGAGAAAAATATTCAAGAACTTAGGAATGAATTTTGGCCAGAAATCAAATAATTATGGAACATAGTATCAGAAAAGAACATAAAATGGAAGGTTTTAAAAGCAGGTTAGATACAGTGGAGGAAATGATGAACGAAGCAGAAATTAGAGAAGAGGAATACAAAGAAGCTGAGGCACAAAGAGAAAAAAGAATCTCTAAGAATGAAAGAATATTGAGAGAAATGTGTGACCAATCCAAATGTATCAATATTCATATGATAAGGGTATCAGAAGAAGAAAAGAGAAAATGGGTTAGAAAGTGTCTTTGAGGAGGTAATTGCTGACAACTTCCCCAATCTGAGGAAGGAAATAGTCTCTCAGGCCATGGAGGTGCATAGATCTCCCAAAAGAAGGGACCCAAGGAAGACAACACCAAGACATATAATAATTAAAACAGTAAAGATCAAGGATAAGGACAGAATATTAAAAGCAGCCAGAGAGAGAAATAAGATCACATACAAAGGAAAGCCCATCAGGCTATCATCAGACTTCTCAGAAGAACCTTACAGACCAGAAGGGAGTGGCATGATATATTTAATGCAATGAAACAGAAGGGCCTTGAAACAAGAATACTGTATCCACCAAGATTATCATTTAAATTTGAAGGAGGGGTTAAACAATTTCCAGATAAGCAAAAGCTGGGAAAATTTACCTCCCACAAACCATCTCTACAGTGTATTTTGGAGGGACTGCTATAGATGGAAGTGTTCATAAGGTTTAATAGCTGTCACCAGAGGTAATAAAACCACAGTAAAGAAAGTAGAACAGTTAATTACTAAGAAAATGCAAAATTAAATCAATTACACCCCAAATCAGTCAAGGGATAGACAAAGAGTACAGAATATGATACCTAATATCTAAAGAATGGAGGAGAAAGAAAAAGCAGAAGAAAAAAAGAACCTTTGGATTGTATTTGTAATAGCATACTAAGTGAATTAAGTTAAACTCTTAGATAGTAAAGAAGTTAACCTTGAGCCTTTGGTAACCATGAATCTAAAGCCTGCAGTGACAATAAGTACATACCTATCAATAATCACCCTAAATGTAAATGGACTGAAGGCACCAATCAATAGACACAGAGTCACTAAAAGTATAAAAAAACAAGACCCATCTGTATGCTGCCTACAAGAGACTCCCTTTAAACCCAAAGACATACACAGACTACAAGTGAAGGGATGAAAAAAGACATTTCATGCAACTAATAGTGAGCAAAAAGCAGTTGCAGGACTTGTATCAAACAAAATAGACTTCAAAACAAAGAAAGTCACAAGAGACAAAGAAGGACATTACATAATGATAAAAGGGTCAATCCAACAGAAGATATAACCATTATAAATATCTATGCACCCAACACAGGAGCACCTACATATGTGAAACAAATACTAACAGAATTAAAAGGGGATATAGAATGCAATGCATTCATTCTAGGAGACTTCAACACACCACTCACTCTGAAGGACAGATCAACCAGACAGAAAATAAGTAAGGACACAGAGGCAGTGAACAATACACTAGAACAGATGGACCTAACAGACATCTACAGAACTCTACACTGAAAACCAGCAGAATACATATTCTTTTCAAGTGCACATGGAACATTTTCAAGAATAGATCATATACTAGGCCACAAAAGGAGCATCAGTAAATTAAAAAATACTGAAATTGTGCCAACCGGTTTCTCAGACCACAAAGGTATGAAACTAGAAATAAATAATTTAAAGAAAATGAAAAATCCCACAAACACATGGAGGCTTCACAACCTGTTCCTAAATAACCAATGGATCAAAGACAAAATAAAAACAGAGATCAAGCAATATATGGCGACAAATGACAACAATAATTCAACACTGCAAAATCTGTGGGATGCAGTGAAGGCTGTGCTAAGAGGAAAGTATATTGCAATACAGGCCTAACTCAGGAAAGAAGAACAATCCCATATGAACACTCTAAAACTCACAATTAATGAAATCAGAAAAAGAAGAACAAATGAGGCCCAAAGTCAGGAGAAGGAGGGACATTATAAAGATTAGAGCAGAAATAAATAAAATTGAGAAAAATAAAGCAACAGAAAGATACAATGAAAGCAAGATCTGGTTCTTCGAGACAATAAACAAAATAGATAAACCCCTACCCAGACTTATTGAGAAAAAAAGAGAGTCTATACACATAAACAGAATCAGAAATGAGAAAGGAAAAATCACTATGGACACCACAGAAATACAAAGAATTATTAGAGAATACTATGAAAAATTATATGCTAACAAACTGAATAACCTAGAAGAAATTGACAACTTTCTTGAAAAATACAACCTACCAAGGCTGACCCAGAAAGAAACAGAAAATCTGAACAGACCAATTACCAGCAACGAAATTGAACTGGTAATCAAAAACCTACCTAAGAACAAAACTTCTGGACCAGATGGCTTCACCGCTGAATTTTATCAAACATTTAGTGAAGACCTAATACCCATCCTCCTTAAAGTTTTCCAAAAAGTAGAGGAAGAGGGAATACTTCCAAGTTCGTTCTATGAGGCCAGCATCACTCTAATACCAAAACCAGGAAAAGACACCACAAAAAAAGAAAATTACAGACTAATATCCCTGATGAACATGGATGCAAAAATACTCAACAAAGTATTAGGAAACTGAATTTAAAAATACATTAAACAGATCACCTACCATGATCAAGTAGGATTTATTACAGGGATGCAAGGATGCTACAATATTAGAAAATCCATCAACATCATCCACCACATCAACAAAAAGGA